CATTTGATAACAGATATGAAGAGGAATTCGAGGAGACAGAAAAAGGGGGGAAAAGAGAAGAAAAGGAAATGGATACGAGTCAAAACGATACGGGAAGCGAAAAACTACGAAGTTACGAGAGAGTGGGAGATGGTTTGGTTAGCCTTTTCTGAGACGGACGAGGGTATCGAAAGACTTCGAAATGAAAAAAACGGCATCACAGCCATAGCGAGCGAGAAGATAAATCAACGAACTCTATGGAAAAGAGAGGTCTTAGCAAGTTTCTCGATCAGATTTTCTCAATGTAAGCTTGAATAATAGTAAGACTGTTTCTTTTTGAGTTGAAGAATGCATGAGAGAGCTGCTGATGAACGCGTGTGAACGATGTTCGACGAATCGACTTGTCTGTTCAACTAACTCCCATTTGTGAGAGCTCATCTTCACAGTATCATTTTAGAATGACAGAATTGTGACAGAGGTATATGATGGGAGAAAGTATTGAAAGATGTACGGTTCTATTCGGAAATTCAGTTTTCTTGATCACCTGCTATCTTCTCTCAAATTTTGCCGCAATCTGTCTTCATCTTCGAAGTTAAGTTGAAACGACGACTATGAAAATTGAGAAGAATATAATCTTTTCAATTCACAGACCATGAACCGCAGAATACTGAAAATGAATGGAAATCAGTTAATGAGTGAATAAGTTAATAATCCCTCTGTCTCATCTTTTTTTCTGACCTTGTTCGCAAAAATCAGTAGAGAGACCCATTTAACGTTGTAGTTCAGCTAACTGATTGGTAATGATTAGCCAATCAGTTCTCATTTTGTATTATCTCTCTCTCTCTCTCTCTTCTGATCTCTCTCTTTTGATCTCTCATTGTATGGTACTCCCTTCCTCTTTCTCTCACCCTCTTTTTTCATCTTTCTCTCTCATTCTCTGTCCCTCTCTCTCTTTCTCTCTCTCTCTGTATTTCTCCCTTTCTCCCTCTCTCTCTCTTTCTCTCTTACCATAAGAGTTTATCTTTTTCCTTTTCAAGCCATCTCTTCTCTCATTTTTCGATGATAATCTCTTCAAAATTGATGATAAGTTTTCTAAACAAATGATATAAATTAATATAATTTTATAGCTTAATTACAATAAATCAACGCGTACGAACTATGTTTGAAAGGCCATTTTTGGTGATTGGGAGAGAGACAGGTGAAAGCGTAGTATGGTGAGAAGAGAAGATGGTTGTCAGGGAAGAGCATTGTCTGTGTCTGTTTAATAGAGAGAGCATCATGCTTGTTAACATATTAGCTGTATGTGGACAACAGGAAGACTCAAACGCTCGGTGAGTAGCGAAGAAACAGTTTTGTACGGAAACCGTAGTTATCTATCTCTCTGTCTCTGTCTCTCTCTCTCTCTATCACTTTATTCTTGCATTATTCTTCCTCTTACATAGGAAAACTGTTTTGAACAGGCCAACAATGCAAGGCTCACAGCTTCAAATTACAGAATGACTGCTTAATATTCCATCGTCAATTCTATTTTTTGTTGGTATTCTCACCATTTGTGATCCATCAGCCGCCGACTTCACTACATAAGCCAAACAGCCACAAGCCATATATGGGTCATATACATACTGACAATTGATATTCTCACGATTTACTGAGATATCATATTGATTTAAGAGAGTTGGTCAGACAACTAAATGGTATATTATGTATCTCCTAGACTGAGGTTAGTCGACGGCTGATATGATGCCCTCGACGACCTCAAGTCCTCTTCCTCTTCTTCATCTACTTCATTGCTATTCTGTTCGTTCTCCCGTTTCAACCATTCATTTGTTTTTCTAACTTAATAATGATCATTAAATTAACTGACACGGTCTTCAGTTGATGAAAATACTCTTTTGATTTCTCTTCTACGGCTGTTTCTTCAATCGAATTCCCTTTCCGAATTCTTGAAACTACCCTCCTCATCAGTCAACACTGTTGTCACATGAATATCTCGGCCCCCTCAATCTGGTTCATTTTTTCATTTTCCCCTATTACCTCTGTCAACTATCATAATAAGGTTATTGATAATAAGTATCTGATTCGTCTTTTCTGCTGCCCTCTGCCTTCTTCTTTCCTCTGTTCTGCCATGGTTTTGCGATCACCAATTGCAAAAGTACTTCTTCATTTTCTCATTGATAATAGGTTGTCATTACATTGATCGCCCAGCTGGCTGATTTATTTTCTGGCTCTCCTTTTCTCTCTCTCTCTTTCTCTTCTCTCTTCTCTCTCCCTCTGCCTACCTCTTTTCTTTCTCTCTCTCTTCCTCTTTGTACAATGTCCTCCTTATTAGGCAAAGAGAAACAAAATTCCTCCTTGTCTTCTATCATTACCTGGTCTTTTTCTCATTTCTATTTCGACCGTTCTAACCTTTTATCAAAGCCCCATCCAACACAAATCTTTCTCGTTCAAAACTATTAGATCCAGCTTATACAGCTAGAATGTGATCTCCCTCTCACTACTCTTCCTTCTCCCTCTCTCTTTAGACTCTCGTATTTTTCACAGATATCCCACTATTTCCTCTCTTCCATCCTCTGTATCTTTTTTTTGCGTGAAAAAGGGAATTGACTCGTTTTGTTCTACCGTAATCAGTCCCCCAACTATCACCCCTCTCTTTACCATCATCACTAGCCATGCAACCCTCTCTCAGTCCCTCTCTCTCTCCTTTTCCTTTTTTTCGCCCCAAACCAGCATTTGTTGTCTTTTTGACTCGCCCCGACTACAGTAACCGGAATGCTTGGGGCTGTGCTGCTGCTTTGGAAAAGAGGGGCCTGATTGACTGAGGAAGCAATACTATCATCATCATGAACCATATATGGACTATGATGTTGTAAATATTTGAAGAATGCCTTGACTCTCCATTCAAACTCAATTTGATTGATTCTACTTCTCTTCATCAATTGCATTCCAAATTCACTCATTTGTGTTGTGACACTAACATCTCTCCAACTCCAATCAACCATCCCAGGGTGATAGTCATGGTGATAGTTTCAATGTCCGCACATGGTTTACTTGATAGTTCCACAAGATGCGTAGATGATGAGAAGTCTGGGTCCATGTTGTATCAGACGTTCTCACAGCTCATTCGTTATCTTTCTTCATGTTGTTCCTCTTCTTTGTTTTCTAAGTAAGGTTGTGTGTATGTGTGTATGTGAGTAAATGTCATTAAATGGAACAGATTCTTTGAGGAACTTCTGCAAGTGAGAAGGAAAAGATATGCGTTGATAGGAGGGGGTGGGGGTGGGGAGAGGAGAAGAATTTTCTGCTTGATACCCAACCCCATGACGATCGTTCGACTGTTCCTAGTTCTTCCATGATCCTCTTCAACCTCGTTCTCTTTTTCTTTTCCACCTCTCCCGTTTTCATCATTTTCTTTCTATCTGTGATGATAACGGCTACTGATGATTATAACGATGAAGGAAAGGAAAAGAGAGAGGGGGAGGGGAAGTAGTAGGTGGAGTCTCTTCTTTATCATCTTACCCTCTCTATTTCTTTTTATTTTTCTCATGTTGTCTTTCTGTATTTTCTTAAGCCAGTCGTCAATCGGCTCCTAACTCCAATTATTTTCATTTTCTTCCTTAATCTGCAATTGTCTCCTCCAGCTTAAAGCATATTCAGGTTGTAAGGAGTAGCTGGTGTGCAACCTCGTACATTCAATAATCCGCTCAAGCTCTGAATAGCATCTTTTCATTAAAATCTAATAAACTTTCTCATACCTCTCTTTCCCTCTCTGCCTCTTTCCCTCTCCCTCTAGTCAGTTCGCATTCCTTCTTCTCATTTCTCTCTATTTTTTTATTATTCCAAGTTGTTTCTTCTATAACTTGCAAAAGAACGGGAGAAAATAAGGAGGATGGGTGATGGATAGGCAAGACTCATCGATTTCGCTCATTACACACCTATATATGGTAGTCTCCATATTTGTGAGAAGTTGTGAGAGAGAAAAGAGAAAGAGGAATGCCAATGTAGCCATAGCGAGTCAATCGTTTCTCTTTCTCGAAACATAAAGACCTCTTCTTCTTTTTTTTTCTTTCCGTGTTGCCTCAAAAATTCATTCAAGTCCATCAGTACTCCGATTTAGCCTTCATCTCATCTCCCGTCAGGTTGTCGCCACGTTTCCACGTTCGAACCTCATCTCTCTGTCCTTTCTTGAAATTCTTGTTTCAACTTCTCCTCCATTGATATCGGCGAATATATTCACATCAAAGATAGATATACACACTTTCATATATGTATAGATTCTTGATGCGACTGTTCTAGACAGTCACAAAGCTTGTAATACTCTATTGTTATGGAAAGAAAATGATTTTACTTCTTTGCTTGAGCTGACAGATGATATGTGTCCCAATTAACTCATTCCTCATCATTTTCATAGAAATTTCAATGTGTTTTCGGTTTTTTCGTTCATATTGTCACAGATAAAGGCCATGCTGATGTCTGAACGACATTCTGAGGTCACTAGAGTCAGTCAATGAACAGCCGTAACAGAATTGAACTGATAAATGGCAAATCTTCAGACGACTGCAGTTGATTTTTCTCTCCTCCTCTTTTCTCTAGTTCTTGTCATTTATGGATGGGTTATTCTTAACCTCAGTCTGTCTCTCTCAACTTCATGTTTCGCTCACCTGAAATTCATTTGATTGCCAATCAGACTGAACAACGGTTGGTGTACTTCTTCCTCTCTAATGTAATGCTCATGAATATATTTTTATTTTCAACTCGAAACGGCTTCATCTCATTGAAATGAGAAAGTAGGACTGGTTAAAAGAATCTCTTATTTCGTTATGTGAGAGGAGAGAAAGAGAGTTGGAAAATTAATCACCAAGGTCAACTTGATCAGCTCTACGCCAATCGACACGTACAAGGAGCGTGAAACCTCATGATAGTTGAAACGTTTCTTCCTGAATGCATTTTTCATGAAATTCTGTAGCATTTGAAAGTGTGCAATGGAATCAAGAATCGTTTCTATATTCACAACAACATTAAGAGGAAGGACTCATCGAATTGAGATACATACATGGGCAACCCAAAAAAGGAAACACTCCTTGAGGTACTTATTTGACGAGACAAATCGACTGCTGTGCCTGGATATTTGTCCTTTTCCTTATCTTATCAATAATTGAGGCGTAGAGACATCAAGAAAATGAAAGGAGTGCAAAGAAAAGTTTTGGAAGTTCTCAATTTTGGTTGCAAATGGACAGCGTCAAAAGCGATTCTTCTTCATAAAACTTCTTGTGGAGCTCTTCTTTTATGAACATCATTAAACCCATAGGGTCTGGATTCCTATTCTATCTATGGTCATATTTTCTCAGTTCTTCATTCCGTTACTCAGAGTGTGAGATCAAAAAAAGTTTGCGTAAACTACCTCACCTCTCGCAATCTTTCTATCATTCCCTTTCTCGATTTTTTTTCTCTCTCTCCCTCTCTCTGTCTCTCTCAGTTCTCCTCCCTCTTTCTGTTAATTTGCTTGCCTACATCTCTAGTTTCCCACTCAATCTTAGGAAACGTTGAGTTGTCATCTCCTCATTTCTTGCCTTTAACAGACTCATCTGACAATTTGATTGTCGTTGCTGACAACCATTAAACTCCTTCCGAACAGTCTGATGTTTCAATTCAATTGATAAACAAATAATTTGTATTCCATTCAATAACTGTTTACCTCACTGTTTCTCTCTCACTCATCTCCTTCCCCAAACTTCCTTCACTAAAATCGTTTAGGCTTTTATCGTTTTGATCTCAAAATGACATTACACGTAGCTAATCGACCCTCAGTACATTTAGAGAGCAAAAAAAGGCAATAAATGGATAAAATAGCAAAGATCTAATGAAGGAAGCTTTCTCTTCCCTTTCTCTCTCCCTCTCTTTATCTGCTTTCCCCTCTCTGCTATCAGCTCTTTCCCAATATTTTCTTCTCATTCTCTCCGCATAGTTTCCCTTAAACCTCTCATCTCTTCTTCTCCTATCCTGTACTTATTATCACGAATTTTTCACTGAAAAACAGAAGTCAGACGAGCCATTGAATTGTTGAGTCTCTCTCTCTCTCTCTCTCTCTCTCTCTGTATTTCAATGTGGACTTGTCTGTCCTCTACCTCACCACTTCTTTACTATTCTATTTCTGATTAACTATGTTGAACCATTCTTCTGACTACTACTCAAGGTTCCTCAGCTTTTGCATCAACACTGTTACAACTATTCTGTCCATCTATGGTCAACTTTTTTCCCGAAAATCGATACCAATCTACGTGCTCTCCTCTGATTTTGAACTTATTGACTGCTTGTTTTAACGTCCATTTCTGATGATTTTCATCTTTTACCTCGTTCACAATTCGCTTTTCTTGTCTCCTGACAGAGTCATCTCGCTTTCTTCCTCTTTTCTCCTCCGTGTTCTTCCTCCCTCGTTCGGTTCCTGTTTCTTCTTTCCTCCCTCTCATTATCTTGCAATCTTGTCTGTCTATCTATCGAATAGTTGATGATATTGTCCTTTTTATTAAAATTTTTCTTTTATCATTGGCCTATAGACTATCTCTGAAAAGAGGGTTTTGACTCATTTTGTTATCATTTCAGCCATACGAGTCTTCCTCGTTGGATCACATAGAGATTGAGGTAGACGGTGTAACAGTTAGAGAATGGAGGACCAACATGACTTCGGCGATGTGGCTGCCACATCTCTACAGAATTCTATTACTTCCACCACTCAATCCCTTGAATCACGTGTGCTTCTTGCAAACAGTTTGCTTGAAACAGAGCCTTCTTCCTCATCCGGCTTCAGCAGTAGTAGCAGTTGTATGAGTGGAGGTAGTGCAACATCTGAAGTTACGACAAGTACTCCCTCTGAAAATTCGACAACGTCTTCTGTTGAAGATGATGATTACTTTTCTCGTTTTATGCAAAATAATCAACAACTGATCTCACAGCTAATGTTACCGCAACGTCGCAAACGACGATCGTTAGCGGAAACTGTTGAGATTCTGAAGCAGAAGAGGAAAGAGGAATCTCCGCCATCAGATGAAATTCTCGATTTATCTAATATAATAATGCAAAAAACGGAACTCATAACTATAAACTTCGGACAAGAACACAAAGAGCTTGTGGAAGATACAGAAAGACAGAAGAAGAGTTCGCCTCGTCAGAATGTGTATGTTACAGAGAAACCATTAATGATCATTAACATCAGCATATTCAGATTCTGCAATGATGACGATGAGAAGAAGTTCACGTGCACGATCTGTCAGAAGAAATTCGCCAATAAATTTTTGTTAAATAAGCATATTTTCATTCATACCGGTCTTCGGCCTCACAAATGTCCGGATTGTTGCAAGGTGAGTAGCTTGTCTTGAAGTTCATTTGTTACCATCATGACTCACTCTTACTCATTCATTCCCTTACAGAGTTTTAACCGGAAAGACAATCTGTTGAGACATAGGAAAACGCATGCATTGAGGAAATCCAGCGGTGAGAGAAGATTTTCAACTTTTCTTCAATATTTTGAGTTGTAGGATCATCAAATAGCGCGTTATTAAGTCAAACTGACTGTACCGATGGTAAGCGATGAATGTGTCAGCTCTCTCTCATTCACACTTCAACTCATTCCAGATCTCGTGGCAGCTATGAAAAACGGTTATGTTCAAGCTGCTGAATTATTTGCTAAATTCACATAGTGATAGTAGTGACCTCAGATTCATTGAATTGTTATCTCACCCATACAACTGTTTGGGTGCTTTCCTCATAATAATTTCATAATGTTAATGGATTATTTTGAAACATAGCAGATTGTTTATTGAAATGCTCAATCCTCTCTTTACTTAAACGATAATTAAGAATGGGGGAATAGAAAATAAAGATTTTTAATTTAAAATTGAATAGCTGTGACTGTCATTGAAACCACACTTAACAACGACGACTAACCAACTTTTTGAATGTGGGGGAAAGAAAAACTATCTAAGTAATACTATCTTCTAGAGCTGTTGAAAGATGAAATAATCATCATACCTCCTCGGAGGCATGAATCTGTATTTTGGACGTAAAAATGAGTACGATCATACCACGTTGCTCATCAATACAAAAAACTTCAAGCAAGGTTCTCCTATCTCTCAATAAGTTTCAGTGAGATTGTTGAACACACAAATTCCATCCGAATACCTGAAAATAAAATGAAAATAATTTATTTTTTTAACGTGACGGGGGACGTTCGGTGACTCAAACTTCCACCGTTGGTGAAGAGTGAGTCGCCTAGCCATGAACCCCAAACATGGCAATCTGCAAGCAGATTTTAACTTGATGGCACGGAGATGTTTCCATCTAATGATTTCAGGGATGAAAATTTATTAGGTCAACTCTCCTTCCCGCATTTTCTCGGAAGATCAGAGTAAATGCTCTGTTTGATCATATGTGTCTATAGATTTCGTAGTTCTTAGATCAACTATTGATCTTTCTAAGTGTCTGCTTATATTTGATTCTACCCGTTCTTTATCCCCTGATTCTAGTTCAATTACAACATGGACTGTATGTGTACGACCATACCACGTTGAAAATACGCCATCCCGTCCGATCTGGCAAGTC